GGATTAATTGGTTCAATAGTTATGACAGACTCGTCTTGAGTCTAGAATTGTAAGGGATTTTCTGAAAATGAGGGGTTAAATAGGGAGAATGCAAAAGCACGAAGTTCCGTAAGTTTATAAAGTTTGGGAGAAAACATCTTATATGTATGTGAGTGAAGAGTAAATAGATGAGGAAAAGTAGTTTTGATTAGTTGATCCAAAGTAAAATCACCTCGCTGAGTGCCGAAAAAGGGGTGCGACAGAATGAAATTTAGGCGTGCAGATTAAAGGACCAAGGAGTGGGTGATGAGTAGGGGTAACCAAGGTGATTTCATTCGAAGATTGAGTAAAGCATATGAATGTTTTGAAGAAATTATTTTCGAGAATTAAATCAGGGCCATCATCAGATAGACACCATAATTTAGGTATTTTAATAAGAGCGGATTAAATAATAACTAATTGATCGTTCCAATATTCATTTATAGTGTGAAGACCATTAAAAGTTTCAAATAGTAGATGTTCGGCATTTACAAGGATATGATCTGGAAGCATATATTTTTTACAGATAGTGATATCACTACCAGTATCACATAGAGCATGTATAGGAATAAGTTCATATTTCGGAAGATATAATTCGACCATGATATAGCTATGAAAGCCGGGCATTTCATTGTAAAGTATGGTTATCTATATGAACGATATCACATGTAAATATAATAGTATGTTGTTGGAGAAAATCAATTCCTACTAAAATTAGATTAGAATTTGTCATCTGTTAAAAATAAATGTTGGAAATCAATTTGTTAATTATTATATCCTAGAAACCAAAGAGTAAATTGGCTTCATGAGTACTTGAATACTTATGTCCAAGATAATTTTGATATATATATGGAGTATCTTTTAATATCTATAAGTTTGTTGGTACTAAGTTTTGTTTTATATGGAACGATGTGATTCTGTACCTAACAAGACCATATATTCTTTTTCAGGTGTGATATAATATACAAAAACTAATAATTAATTATTATTGTAATCTTTTCGGCTAGTGGATGATTTAGTTAGAAAGATAGATTGATTAATATCAAGAGAACGTCTAGGTTGTATAGCCAGAGAATTAGAATTTTCACGGAAGCTAAGTCATGGATGTTTTTGGATTCCATAATTTTTATTTTCATTGAAATAAAGAAGAAGATAAGATGAAGGATGATTAATTTCTAATTCACTAATTTCTTAGGATGAATTGTGTGACCAATATGAGAGAAGATTTGTAATATTTGTAGCTTCATTAATATTTCTAGCTGATAATCAATTGTTATATTTAGATATATATTTTTACAAACTACTTGAACCATATAATATTCTATGGAGTCAAGAATTTGCAAAAATACATCCTAATGACACCACTTTAGGTAGCCAGATACAATATACTATAGTAAAATTAGGTGAAGCTTGTGAGCATCTTGACGTACACAAACAAAATAAACAATATAAAAAATCTTTATGTTATAAAAAATCAGATTTAGTTGCTTAGCAATGGGGTCGCTCGTCTTCCCATAACACTTGTAATTGCTCTGAAAAAATAAAAAGAAAAATTCTTTAAGAAAACACTTAAAAGATATTTAAAAAAAAAGGATAAAAAGACCAATAATAATACTAAAAAAGCCAGAATTAGTAAATGTTGGTTTTGTAAGCAGGAAGAACATTATGCAAACACCTGTTCCCGAAAGACTAAAGTCATATAACATATGTAGCAATTATAAATAAATATGAGTTAGAATTAATTTTCAAATTTTCTGACATAGACAGTGAATAAAATATTTATAAACTATCCAATACTGAAGAAAATTTAATAAAAATAAACTATTCAGATATTGAAATAGAAGAATGTTTGTATTCTGATTAATGGACAAAAACCTTGAATCAGATATAATTAATGTTGAATATGTTGAATTTGAAAAACATTACATTATTAGAAGAAGCCTATAATAATATATGAAAACGAAAATTATCTCGTGAAAGTAAAGATTGTTTTGACATTTCTATTTTCCTTTAGAAAAGAAGTATACTCTACAATATTCATCAGGGAGAACATCCCATCGATATTTTAAATGCAGAAGGAAATACACAAATACCGCTATATAATCAAAAAATAAAAAGACTAGATTTAGACATAATTAAAAACCCTGAAAAATATAAATATATTTTTTTCGGAGAAATTGAGATCTTAATTAAAGCATATTTCTGATTATGGTATTATTATCACTATATCAAGATCTTAATTAAAGCATATTTCTGATCTTAATTAAATAATTTCAACATCTTTGCTTGCATTTTATTTAATTATGGTATTTTTATCACTATATCACTTCATATGTCATAAAAGTTTTCTTTATGGTCCACAATTAAGTGATTTAGCCACCTCAACTTAATGTTAAGCTATTCTATCAATTAGTATATCCATAAAAATGATGTATTAAAATTAAATAAATTAATTTTCAAATAGTCAATTTGGTGGCTTTTCAAAACTTTTTTTAACATGTATAATTAGGAGTAACTTAGTTATAAAAACTAAAGTTTCTTAATTTTCTTAACTTAAATTTTATAAAAACTAACTATGAAAATAGCATTTAAATTTTGAAATTAAACTTCCTTACTAAATTTTCCTCTCCATTTTTTTGCCTTGCTTTCTTTTTCTAAACAAATTTTTTAACAAATTTTATGTCATGAAATTGTCAATGTTTCTGAAATATCATCTTAATTAACTAGAAATCAATTTCTGTAGCCGAATGGAAAAGAAATGATTAAGATTGATTTCAGATTTCTTATGTAAGTCGCAAAACATTTTCGTATTCTCATTGCTTTTCCTTATTTTTGTACGGGCTCGGCGAAGCTCTGTCGGACGTGAAATATGCCACATGACAGGAAAAAAAATCGGATGCGTTGCTCTTCCCCTCTTTCATTTAGTTAGAGCACGAGTTCTCCTCAACTGGAGCTTATAGGTAGGGGTGTGTATTGTTTGATTCTATCTAGAATACCAAATCGAACCAAGCCAATTTAATAATTTGGTTCGATTTTAAATTAAAAGTTTGGATTTCGATTTTAAAAGGCCAATATTTTATTTCATATCCCAAATTGGCTTTAAGAAATTTTCAACCGCACCAACCGAGAACAAAAATTTACTTCATTTAGCGATATTTTTAGGCAGCCAATGGACAATGTTGACTAGTTCGTTTTTTTAAACTAATGGAGAGTTTTTGGGACAATGTTTTTTTTAATTTTTTAATATATCTATCCGTTTATTTAAAACCAAACCGTTCAAATCGAATTAAACTTCGGTTTGACTGGTTTGATTTTGTCAAAATTTTGTTTGGTTTGATAGTTTAGTTTTTGAATCGGTTCAAATCGGATTGTCAAATTTTAAAACTGATTCATCCTAACCGATCAAATGCACACCCCTACTTAGAGGTGCTTGGTCTTCCTTTTTTTGCTTATGCTTTCAATCTCTCCCTTTCTACCTACGCGTGTTCTGTTGAAGAGCAGGAAGGCTCCCTTGAGTCACCCTGTCCTCCTTCCTTTTGGTCATGCATCGCACGGCTTTGCCTAACCTGCTAGGTAACCATCTCCTTCGTTCTAGCATTCTCCCTTATTCTCTTTCTTTTCCTCCGCTCTTGTTTTCTTTGTATCTCTCTCTCTCTCTCTTTACAGTCACCCTCTAAAGACTAGGTTGTTATATATGGATAGCTTTACATTTAGTGTTTATTTATATAGATTAAAGACTAGGTTGTTATATATGGATAGCTTTACATTTAGTGTTTATTTATATAGATTAAAGACTAGGTTGTTATATATGGATAGCTTAGGTTTAGTGGCTGGAGTTATAATTTAATTTTTTGGACCTCTTGTAAGGAATTAAATGAGGGCTGTTTGGTGGATTGAAAATTTAGATTGAAAGGAATAAATGCAATTGATTTTTTAAATGCGTGCCTAGGTGCTAAAAATCTTAATTTACTTCTCTTCAGGGCTACCGTACGTTGTTGTTCTATACAGAGAATGCAGCCACTCTGCATATTTCTTCACATACATTGATCACCTGACGCCCTTTTCTTTTATTTTGGCATGTATGTGTTGGATTGACATTATTATTAATGCACATAAGCGCAGTAATTTGACTTAAAAAAACATTGAGAAGAAACTAGAGAAGAAACGAATGAAACCTATTGGTCAATGAACAAAAATACTATGAAATAGATTGTCTAGACATTTTCCGTTTCCAACAGAGAAGTGGGAATGGAAGGACTACAAAATAAGCTTTTTTTCTTTTGAGTGGAAATGAAATATTGTGTCTTCATTATAGATCAAAAAGTATTTCAATACTAGCAATTTTTTTACTCTCTTGGCGATCTTGAAAGACTTAATTTACATTAAAACAACCGGAACCTCAGTTGTGATCGGTTGTTGTTTCTCATTATCTGCTAGGTATTACAGTGCACTTGTTTTTACTCAAATTTCTTAGGCTAAATTTAGATTTTTTTTTATTGACAAATATTTTTTTTCAATTTATTTCTAGCTTTTGGTGGACTTCTATGACTATTGTGTTTTAGGTGACTCTTCCCTCTGTATCCAGTGCATGTTATACTGAATGAAACATGTACTGATGGCCAATCAAGTCTTTTATGGTCATTAACCATTGCGTCAGGATCTGTATTTTCTGTTACCAGTTCCAGCGCATATTTATACTATTGGAATATTGAATGCTGGCTAATATTATGCAAGGGATTTACTAAGGTTATTATGTAGATGATCTATTTTTTTACCTTGCTTGAATTACATATTTTGCAGAAGATGTGATTAATGTTTGGAGAAATTTGCAGTGGAGACCTGTTTGAATCAATTTTTATTTTCGGCTGTTTATATCAACTGAATTTATCTCTCAATGCACATAGTACTTGATGTATTTTCTTACTTTTTTGCTATGATTCTTGGTTATGTACTGATATATATGATTCCACATCCATTTATAGGGTATTCTTATGAAGAACTATCTGAAGTTTCTCCAGATCATCGTTTACTTGCATATACCATGTATGACAAAGAAAAGGACTCCTTCACTCTATCCGTTATTGATCTAACTAGCGGTACTCTACTCGACAAACCACGGGCTGATCGGGTTGCAAATTTGTCTTGGGCGAAGAATGGAAAGGCACTGCTTTACACGGTTACAAACAGCGATAAAAGACCATATCGGTGAGTTTTCCAGAAAGTTTGGAGTTTTTTTCTTTTGTTTCCCCATAGTAATTGTATACTTGTTGTCTTTAGGATTTTTTGTAGTATGCTTGGGTCCGCTAAAGATGATGTTTTGATTCTGGAAGAGTCCGATGAGAATGCTTATGTTAACATTAGAAATACCAAGGATTTTCAGTTTATTACTGTTAATATTTTTTCAAATACTTCTTCCAAGGTATCATGAAATTTAATCACCTTGTGTTCTATTTTATCTATGGTTGTTCTTCATTTTAAATCTCATTTTGCAGCTGTATTTGATAAATGCGGCTGAACCCCTGAACAGCATGACTTTAGTGTGGGAGTGTGAGCCTCATACTAATTGCATAATTGAGCATCATCATAACGTTTTTTATCTATTTACAAATGCTGCTAAAGGAGGTGTGCCCGTTGATTCACATTATCTGCTTTGTTCTAGCTTTGAAGCGTCTAGTATTGGGAATTGGGAGGTAAGCAACATTCAAAAGTTCGTGTACATTTTTCGCTGCAGTGATTTGAGACTGTTCGTAATGATCTTTCCATTTATATAATTTCATGATATGTTTATGTGAGACATTCATCAAAATTATTCTTACTATTTTGAGAATTTTTTTTTTGAATTTTTTGATTAATCCTAGTATGTTGTTTTACGTTAATTTAATTATTTGGATCATCTTTATTTTAAACTTGATGACTTGCTTTATAACTCCTGTAGTTTCTTGTTTTAGGTTGTTTAGAATTGTTAATTTAACCTTATTTTCATAAGTAGGGGTTTTATTGCTTCCCATAAGGTAATCCAATTATAAGTTCAATTTTTATCTGGATTCTTTCTCTCTTCACTTTTCTCTCTCTCTCTCTCTCTCTTCATCCTCTCCATCATGAAAATTGGAATTATAAGAAAGGGCTTTTGCATGACTCATTAAGAGAATAATGTAATAACCGAAGATAAATAAATAAATAAATAAAATGAAAAGAAATTTCAATGGGTAGGGTAGGTTCCATCGACCGTTTTGTAAGTTTCTTCATCAAAAGATGAGTGTCACATTCGAAGCGGTAAAGTGAAGAAGAATTCGAGGGAGACAGTGATAGTAGAGGAGAGAGCAAGATATAGAAGAACGAAGAAGAACAGGAGGCAACATAAACCCTAGCCGAAGGAGAAGAGCTACTCACCGGTCAAATTGATCGATCGTGTCGAGTAATGTCAAGAGCTTGAAAGTAAGTCGGAGCCGTGCGAAGGGTAGCCATGCTTTGCTTCTTTGAGTGCAAGTGTCACCGTTGGTGGTAGAGGAAGAGGCATTGGACGGCTCCAATGTGTTATCTTTATTTTAAACTTGATGACTTGCTTTATAACTCCTGTAGTTTCTTGTTTTAGGTTGTTTAGAATTGTTAATTTAACCTTATTTTCATAAGTAGGGGTTTTATTGCTTCCCATAAGGTAATCCAATTATAAGTTCAATTTTTATCTGGATTCTTTCTCTCTTCACTTTTCTCTCTCTCTCTCTCTCTCTTCATCCTCTCCATCATGAAAATTGGAATTATAAGAAAGGGCTTTTGCATGACTCATTAAGAGAATAATGTAATAACCGAAGATAAATAAATAAAATGAAAAGAAATTTCAATGGGTAGGGTAGGTTCCATCGACCATTTTGTAAGTTTCTTCATCAAAAGACGGGTGTCACATTCGAAGCGGTAAAGTGAAGAAGAATTCGAGGGAGACAGTGATAGTAGAGGAGAGAGCAAGATATAGAAGAACGAAGAAGAACAGGAGGCAACACAAACCCTAGCCGAAGGAGAAGAGCTACTCACCAGTCAAATTGATCGATCGTGTCGAGTAATGTCAAGAGCTTGAAAGTAAGTCAGAGCCGTGCGAAGAGTAGCCATGCTTTGCTTCTTTGAGTGCAAGTGTCATCGTTGGTGGTAGAGGAAGAGGCATTGGGCGGCTCCAATGTGAGGAAGAAAGAGGAGGCTAGGGAGAATTGACTTGAACAACTAGAATGAAAGGGAAATCGAGCGGCACTGGTGCGGAGGAAAGAGGAAGAATCAAGCCTAGTGACCCTTGCGTGCGGGTTCGAGCAAAAGAGTAGGAGAGGAAGCTTGCTGTGTGGGGGGAGTAGGACCGAACCGAGAGCACTTATAAGGTATGCCTGGATTTATTTTCTTAGATTTAAATTGTAATTATGTTAGGATTATTATATAATTAATAATTAATTGTTACAAGTAATGTTATTAATTTTTAATAGTGGATTTTATTATTTGATGATACGATGTAACAGGTCGAAGAACTTTTGCTTTGTAAGATTTGGAGGTTTTAATTGTTGATTTCACAGGAGAAGGTAAATCTTAGAATTGTTTATGTGTTGTATATTTCTTTGAAATAATTAATTAATTGAAATGATATTAAATGTTAATAATAAGCTAAAACTGGATATTTTAGATTGAGGAACCTTTGAGATTGAATAGAGAAGAAGAAATTACAACATAAAAGATAAGTGTTTAATTGAAAATTAATTTTAATCAAATAAATAATGATTTAAGTATTAAAATAAGTTTTTTTGCTTAATAATGTTAGAAATTTGAGGTTGAAAATATTTAGATTTGAAAACAAGAAGAATTAACAACATTAATCAGGTTAGAGTTTCCTATTTAAGTTATGTGATAGCTTTTGATTGAGATTTATATATGTGAATAATAAGTTTTACTGAATGATGTTAGATTTTGATAAATTCAAGTTATTAAATTAGAGGATTGATAGGAGTAAAATGGTGAAAGGCTTAAGTGAGTAATTATGCTTTTGAGTTACAATAATATTTCTTGTTTAAATATTTTTGTATTTACATTATTTCACTATTATGCCTTATAATAATGAAATTAAATCTCCTATGATTCTTCATATTGTTATGTACGAAGTACACATCTAAATGCCGTTTTCTTAATTGTTGCATAATAGTTTATTTTTGGAAAAATGAGAATATTGCTCGATCTTTATGTGCTAGTAGAGATGTATATGTAAGTTTATTCCATGACCATATGTATATGTTAGTTTATTACATGATATTTAGAATTCTAGTAAAGGTGTGTCTATCAAATTACCACATGAACTTAGATTCTAGTAACGATATATACAATATATTATTACACGATTTTTAGAAGTATGCATGTTAAAAGTCATACATAAAACAATTGCATAATAATTTACCTTTGAAATTATTAGATTATTGCATGTTATTTTGATTCCAATAAAATTGCATTTATTCATTAGTAGATGCATGGAAGTGCTCATAAGAAAAGAATAAATGCGATGAAGAGAAAATAGTGTGTATGTATATATATATATATATATTCCAAAATAATATATATATATATAAGAGGAGTGCAACCCCATTTTTTTCGAATGGGTGCGACGGGAGGCTCTGTTAGGGTTTCGCCTCACGACGAACCCTAGCCTCTGCTACAGTATTTTTACGCTAGAAGAAGGGGAGTTATCTGCTCTGTTTCATCGTCTTCGTTGAGCTTCTTCGAGGCTCCGACTTCTGCGGCTCATGTCTTCCGCGGTTTCGACCCTTTCGCGGCTGTTTCGTTTGTCTTCGTCGAGCTGCGCCTGTTCTGCGGCTTCGCCCTGACAGTCTTGCTTTGCCCTCTGCACGACTTGGCAGGGCTCATCTTCTGCTTGGCCCCTTCTGGATTTCGCTCTCCGTCCAGTGCAAATTCACTGTTCTTTCACCGTGCCTCCCACTTGTGGTGATGGCTTCAAACTTATCGTATGCTACTGCTCTTGCGGGTCCACGCCTCAGGTACCCCTAAATCGTGCTCTCTCTCCTTTGTTTGAGTTGGCGGAGGACATCATGAAACCTGATAGGAATAATGAGAAGCATGCCATCTTTTTTATAGAAGCTGAATGCAATCAACTCGCTTCTTCCTGTCGTTTGAATTTGGTCAGAAATTTTTTTTATGACCATCCTAAAATGGAGCTTATTCGTATAGAATTTGAACTTATGCATCTTGTTGGGGAGTGCAAAATTGGACTTCTAGGTGGAAGAAACATTCTTATTCAATTTAATAATGAAGATGATTACACACAATTATTTGCTAAAAGATTAATCTGGATTGATAATAGAGCAATAAAGATTTTGAAATGATCAGTAGTTTTTGACCCACAGACGGATCTCTTAATCATTTCGGTTTGGATTCCCTCTCTGGCCTTAAATTTTATTATTTTACTCAAAAAATATTGTACTCTATTGCCTCAGCTTATGGTAAACCACTCAAATCGGACATTTCTACTTTTAATCTTTCTCGTTCATCTGAAGCCATAATACTCATTGAAAGGAACATCACTTCTACCGCTTCTGAGGAAATTTGGTTAGACACACAACACCATAGTTATTAACAAAAGGTTGTGATTGAGCATTTCCCCACGTATTGTTCGAACTGTTGTCTGTTTGGCCACTCCAGTTTTGAATGTCATCATTTACACCCCCATCTCAGACCAAAGAAGCAAAGTGCTCTGTCAGAGGCAGAGATTCCCACTCCTTATGATATGCTCCAAGTTATTGACAGTATTGATCATCAAAAAGATACCCCTGAAGATGCTACTATCCATATGCCAACCATTCAGCCTCCACACAATGTTGTAGTTTCCCCATCTTTAGAACCTCCTTTCGTGGGGGGAGGGACACATTTCAGACTTCACCTGCCCTACAACTTATCACTGATGTTACGGGTGGCAATATTGCTACCGCTTCTCTACCGCCTCATCAGGAGGAGCAAGATGTTAATGTTACTCAAGCACATGGGGTTCATGATGTGCAACAACCTATACTTGTCAAACCACCTTTGGACCAATCTACTGATCAGATGAGTCAATTATCGGATGAGGAATGCCATGTTTACTCATCCAGAAGGAAGAAGAACAATGAAGATCTACTTGAGCTTAGGAATCTGATGGATGATACTTTGGTTACTTCGGGTAAAGGTACGCACCTCACCAATTTTCTAGTCAGCTCCCTTCCGAGAACTCGACGCAGAGGCCGGACTAAATTGAGTCGTCCCTAGCTTTTTGCGCGCGTTGATGGTTTTTGGTTTTTGGATATTATATGTATATTTTTTTTTTTGGGTTTTTGTATGTGTTGTATCGTACGAGTTGGTGTCTTCTTTTAGGATCACTCATACAACCTATTTGTATCTTTTCCTCTTTAATATAGTTGCCCTAGGGCTTTTTCAAAAAAAAAGAAAAAAAGAGGAGTGCAATCCCTTGTGGTACTGTCAGGGAACTCCAATATACTCATGCGCGTAGTTGTTTTCCTTCCATTTAATATAATTTATAATATCTGTTAGGGATGAGTAGACACCCTATCACCTCTAATATTTGCGTAATTTGATCATTAACTTCTGTGACGATGAGATAATATCTGTCTACGATGTGTTAAGTATGTTTGACAGTAATTCTGAGACAAATGTGACTGAAAAACAT